TGAACTATCCTCAGACTCACTGATTCTTTCCTATCATCTCTGCTCTCTCTTTGAGTCCACCCAGCAAATTTTCTATTTTTGCTGCATTTTTTGGCTCTATAATCAACATTTGGTTATTTTTATATCTTCTATTGCTTTACTGAGATTTTCTAATTTTTTTCTCTCTTCAAAAGAATTTGTAATTGCTTGTTGAAGCATTTTATGATGGGCTCTTTAAGGTCGTTGACAGATAATTCCAATATCTGATTCATTTCAGTGTTGGCATCAATTGATTGCCTTTCCTCATTCAAGATCTTATTTTCCTGGTTCAAATTACAATGTGTGGCTTCCTATTGTGTACTGGACAGTTTGGCTATTATGTGAGAAGACACCAGATCCTATTAAAATTTTTATTTTAACAAGCAGTTGCTCTGTTTAGGTTTGGCATGCAGGTCCTGGCCTACTTCTGTGGTCAAGTGGCTGCAATGGCAGTGTAATTTTCAGAGCTCACATGCTGCTATTTTCATCTTTTGAGTTTATTTTTTGCTTCTGGGGCTCCCACTGGCTCTTGTTGCTGCTGCTTGAGGGGGAAGGACAAGCTCCCAGATGCAAGGTGGCCTGGGACCTTTATTCAAAAGAAGAGGTTATCTCCATGCTAGTGGGAAATGAGCACTTCTTGACTGGACTGATGTCAAGATTCTTATTCCTTGTGGCTTCAGCCATGTGGTATCTCAGGAAGGGCCCTGAGAAGAGGGAGAATCTCAGCACTCTGAGGACATTGAAATTTCTCAAGCTGCCCATTTGTCTCCTAGTTGGGTTTTTTTTTTTTCCTTCTTCTTCTTCTGAATCTAATTCTTCAAAGTGAATGCTACTCTGTGAGAACAAAAGCCCATCTGGACACATGGGGACTTATCATTCTGTCTGTGCTTTTGTAAGTTATATCCTAAAGATCTGAAATATCTGAAATCACAGCTAGAAGTGACTTTTACTATACTGATTTAGGTGGGTAGGCATGAAAGTAGCTATTTAAATCTACATGAAGAGCAACAACTTCTGTCTTTTTTCCTGCCTGCTGTGAATATCTCATTAAGGTTATTTTGCTGTCACATTGGTTTGCATGTAGAATTATTGCCTCCTCAGTCCCTGCCCAACCCCCTACCCCTCCTGCTTCTTCAGTGGTTAAGAGCAGATCCTCTGGAGTCCAACCTGAGTTTAAATGCTGACCCTGCTGTTTAGCCTGTGCATTCTGAGCAAGTCTCTTACCTTCCTAAATCTCATCTAAAAAAATGATGACAGTCATAGGGTAAAGTAAAATTTAATAACAACATATAGATTAAGTACTCAGCACAGTACCTGGCTGGTGACAAGCACTCAACAGATGTGATGAGTTAGCTAGTTGTTCATCCTCAGTAATAGCATTATCATTTCGTCTCCACTTTAGAAAAGCTTTGGAAGTAAAAATAATTGAACCTGGGTTAGTTTGCCCTCTTAATGTCAAGAGAGCAGCAATTCAAATCCATATCTACTTTTTACAAATCTTTTTTTGCTAACCATTGTATATAACCATGCTACAAATGATTATCTTATGAGACTTGAGTCTCCGTGGGAGCATGGGTTAGTCAGTCCATGTTCCGGATATGCAAAAATACAAGAATGTATAGTTTAGAGCCAAGCATACTCAATTTTCAATTAATTATTGATTATAGTGATAAATATTTTTATAGATATATCTATGCATAAAAATAAAAAAACACAGCTAGTTTAATATAACCTGACCACCATACTTTGTAAAAGGATGACTTTTAACCCTTTTGCCCAAATACTCCTTTTTCATTATGCTTACCAGTTTCTGAAATCTGATAGATTGATTTTAGAAGATTTTATTTCTCCATTTGACAGAGTCAAAGCACAAGTAGACAGAGCATCAGAGGGAGAAGGAGGCTCCCTGCTAAGCAGGGAGCCTGATGCTGGGCTTGATCCCAGAATCCTGAGATCATGACCTGAGTTAAAGGCAGGTGCTTAACCAACTGAGCCACCTGGGCGCCCCTGAAATCTGATAGATTTAAAAACAGTTTATTTTTCTTAGGCATTATGCTCTTTCATTTAAATTTTAGTATAATTTGAAATGCATTAAGAACTTACATGTTTCCATTTTATGTATTTTCCCATAAATCTGCTTCCTATACATAAGAATGTATAATTTCTATAATAATTTTGCACATTGCTAAATGAACAAGTGAAGATGATGGTGAATTCCTGAATTTATTATTATAATGGTACAAATGTAATTCAAAAGGAATAATTTATGTTATTACCAATTAAAGTAAAAACACATTTATGATAGAGACACAAATGCTTCAGTTGTATTTGCCCATTTATTAAATAAGGGAAAAATTCACTGATGAAAAAATATTAAAAGTTATTTACATGTACATTGGGGCTTATCTTATGAGTTGTTATTCTGTAGTGTAGGAGGTAAGCAATCACTTTTTCCTCAGACTCTGTTGATTCAGAAATTTCAAAATAAAAACCACCCAAACAGCTAATGGCCACGTATAGATCAAGAACTTATTTATGTTTTATATTTTTGAGCTAGGAATTGCAGATATTCGACTCAGCTTCTTTTAAGTTAAATGAAAACACTATTGTTTATTACATATAGCAAATAATACATAATGTTGTTAGTACATGTACCATAGGCTGATTCTGTATCTGACATAAAGAGAGATGGTGGCAAGGGAGAAAGGGGTCCATTTGTGATGGGACACGTGGAAGTTGATGTCTTGGAAGAGAATGAAGTAATGAGGAAAGAGGGAGGGGCAGGGAGTGCTCATAAGAGAGAGAGACAGGCAGCAGGATAGACAAAGACCAAGTGAAGAGAAGATGCTGGAAGTATAAGTCCATAGAACAAAGGGGAGAAGGGAGAAAAAAGTAAGATGGAGAAGAAGAAAACATCTGAAATGTGAGGAGAGAGAGAGAGAGAGAGAGAGAGAGAGAGAGAGAGAGAGAGACCACATACGTCTAAATCTAGATTTAGATCTCTGAGCATCAGAGATTTGCTTTTACAAAACTTAAACTTTATGAATAAATGGATCATGGTCAATTTTTAGCTTTGATGTTGTAGATTTTGTGTATCTTCCTTATGACACCTTCACCATCCCGATGGTGGGCAAGCATGTGCCATTAACAGCAGTCCTCTCAACACAGCCTGCCAGGCACAGCAAACAGGACACAGCCTGGAAATTCTCAGAACAGTCATCTCTGTCTGCACTCAGGCCATAACCTGCAGCCTTGGGAAGCTGCCCTGGTGGTGGTGGGGGGGGTGGGGGGGATTGGGAGTGTCTTCTGCACACCATTTTCTGGCCTCCATCACCATACTATGTATCCTTGAGAAGGGGCATATTCTTTTATCTTTTTATGCTAATGACCTAGAGCTGTGTGAGTAAATAGGAAACAATAAATATTTCATTGAAGAAATGAGAGTACTAGGTATCAAAGGAGGAAATACTGAACACTCGTGGTAACTTCACTTAAGATAAAGCAAACATTTCATTTCATAAAAATTATAGTGTCAAGGGAGGACTTGATTTTATTTCCATGTCTGTACTGAATCTTGATGAATGGTGCAGGTGGAATCATGTAAAACATAGATGCAGGCCTACACATCCAAATCTCTCAGTTTTACTGTATGTTTGTTCTATGCCTTCAGTTTCATCAGCCAGCCAAACTACTTCATGCTACAAATAATAAAGGAAAATAAATTTAATGAGCCACATCCACATGACAGTGGAAAGTGGTATAGGTTAAACAGATGTGCACTCTTGGTGGTCAACTCCTGGGCTGTTCTTTCTAGGTCATTACCACCTCTCTCCTTTCCAGGAGATACCTTACTCTGACCCAGATAACTCTGTACAGCCACATCCTTTTTTAATTTTTATTATTTTTTAAAGATTTTATTTATTTGACAGAGAGAGAGGGGGAGAGATAGCATGAGCAGGGGAGGGATAAGCAGAGGGTAAGGGAGCAACAGGATCCTCACCAAGTGTAGAGGCTGATGTGGGACTCTATCCCAATCCTGGGATCATGACCTGAGCCGAAGGCAGATGCTTAACTGACTGAGCCACTGAGTCCCACTGTACAGTAACATCCTAAGTGCATTTCCTTTCCTGCTGCCGCTCCTTCCCTTGGAATGGCTCATAGGGTGCCTTGCTAAGCTAGCATCAGTTTGTGTCCACTGATGGAACACATGAAACATCAGTCGCCCAAGTTCTGTAGTCAAAGAGTACAGAAAGGAGGGACCAATTTAAAGTAGTGCATCTTCAGATTCTTTATCTTCCTAACTGAATTCCTTTAGTGTTATTCTGATTTAGGGGGTATATTTTCAGCTCTTAGTGAACATGATAGTTGATTGAAAATCACTTCCTGATAATACAGACATAATCACATCTAGTTTAAATTTTTATTTTTAAAGATAAAGTGAATCATTCTGTAAGTCAGTGCAAGAACTACTATATATTCAAAGGTCTACAAGCCTTGAAAAATGACTTATGTAAGGCCAAACAATTATTTTGATTTATTTGAATTTCTGGACTTTTTTCCCCTGAGTGTTATTTTAATGACTTGAATATAGTTGTTTTGACAGATGGATTTATCCTAATTTTATTATTAAGCAGGTTGAAAGGTGCTAAATTGACTCATGAGCCAATTTCATGATGAGCCTGAGTGTAATTTCATTTTGAATAAAAAATGTTTCTGAGGTTCATTTCTCATTGATCTCACTCATCATTTCATCATTGTCTTTAGGAAGTGGCAAAGTGGGGCATAATAACAAAGATTTCTGTTCAGAACCATGAATTTTACACAGGTTGACAACCATATTCAAATTTGCTCATATGAATGCAGAAATTCAACATAGCTAATATACATTTCTTGTTCCTTCTCTTCATCAGATAGTAAATTAACTTTTTTTGTGAACCTACTATGTGAAGAGCACTGATTAAAATTTCATGTTAATTTTGCAGGTGATGGAAGTCAAAGGACAGATGATCCATGTCCCAGAATCAAATTCCATTTTATTCTTGGGCTCTCCATGTGTGGACAAGTTGGATGAACTCATGGGCCGAGGGCTGCATCTCTCAGACATCCCTATTCATGATGCCACCCGAGATGTCATTCTGGTTGGTGAACAGGCAAAGGCACAAGATGGCTTGAAGAAGAGGATGGATAAATTAAAGGCAACTTTGGAAAGAACTCATCAGGCCCTGGAAGAAGAAAAAAAGAAAACAGTGGATCTTCTGTATTCTATTTTCCCTGGTGATGTAGCCCAGCAGCTGTGGCAAGGGCAGCAGGTGCAGGCAAGAAAGTTTGATGACGTTACCATGCTCTTCTCGGACATTGTTGGCTTCACAGCCATATGTGCCCAGTGTACTCCCATGCAGGTGATCAGCATGCTGAATGAACTGTATACCAGGTTTGACCACCAGTGTGGATTTTTGGATATTTATAAGGTAAAGGGGTTTAGTTACTTATACACAAGTATTTTTTTATCATAAGTTATCTTAAATTGCAAGGATACAATTTTCTTTGTAAAGTTAAACTTGGTAGTAAATAATGGAAATCTCTTTAATTTAGAAATTTTAGACAGAATACAAGTACTCCTGTTTAATGGGTACATGTCCATTATAAGTCAGTTTATAGTATTGACTAATAGGTAACTGAATCATAATATTGTTTAGTAAGGAAAAGGCTGTAGAGCTCCTTCTCTAAGTTCATTATTATTATTATAGAATTAAACTGCTGAGTTCCAGACAACTTTTCACAACATAATTAGTCTTTCTTAGAGAACAGGATTCGAATATGAACTAAGAGTTTTTATTTGACAGTTAATATGAAGAAGTAAGTTATGTTAAAATATGCATTGCATTATCAGTAAATGATGATTAATCAGTGTTTTTGCACTGCATTGTCAAATAAGGTAAGTCCTTCTAATTCTGAAGGAATACTTGTAAATATTCTATCTATTACCAAATGACCAGTGGTTTTTAGTGGAAGCACTTTACTTTTCCAAGCCAAATAGTGGAAGAGCTTTGAAAATGGGTACCAGTTACCATTTTTGGGGTCTGATTTGGTGAACTCCTTATGAATTTATTACCCAAATTGGGGCAATCTCTTGAGTGATTCAGCCTCTTATCCACCTAATGAATAACTCTGTAACTTCACATAATTTCCCATGGATTACGCATTGTTGAGGTACATGGTTTTTTTATATGAAGAACATAAAGTACTTGGAGTATAAACAGTAGTGAACTGTAGGCTTTTATTTTCTCTTTACTAATCCATTTACACTGCTTTCTTTTTATAGTATGATCTACACATAAGAAGACTTGAAAAGAAGCATTGTAGTTTCATATTATTATCCCACAGGGTGTTTTCATTATCGTGTTTCTCCTTTAGAAAAACATGTTTTCTAGTTCCATTATGTATAATGTGTAGCTGATGCTAAATATTTTAATGAGTCTCTTTGGAGGGGTGAACATTCAGTGTGTGGTATAAGCAAACTTCCTTATAATGTATTGTTATATAATATATGGCAGAGGTTGCCAAATATCTGATCCTAAATCAAAGAGACATGACAGTGAGTTTGCCACTGTTACACTCGGTCATTTCCAGAAGGTAGAGCAACTTGGCCTGAATCTGCCAGCATATTCCTTTCCCCAGACCGAGGGCTCTACTGCACTAATCTCAGCAATGACCAACCTCCTTCCTCTATGAACCCCTGATTTGCTGTGTTAGCTTTCTCCAACTAAAGTTGTCATGTTATTTTGGCCCTAAGCTCTTAAAACTAAATGAGAATGATAAACAAATAACTAGATTCTCCTTTGAAAGAGCAAGGGAATCCCTAATTTAATATAAGCATCAGGTTTTGAGGAAAAAAAAAACATGTCTTCTGAGGGTACTACCACTTCGAGGTTTGAAATATGGATTTCACAGACATCAAGTTTCCTTTCGCTTGAGATAAGCTAGGATACCTCATTGTAAAAGAAAATTTATGGGACTATCCTGCATGATCCTCAAATTTTTCTGTATGTTTTTTACACCATGGATAGTTCCAAAAAGTAGTAAATAATTATCAGCAAGTTTTCAGTTATAAAATGAATTTACTGTTTCCCTGATTCTAAGGATTGGCTTTCCAGCCTTCATATATAAACAAAACATTCCTGGTTCACAAATTCTCTTAAATTCAACTTGCTTATGAAATTTCAGCAATAAGTTTATAAAATAATACAATTTTAAGGCCAGGTATTTTTAACATACCTTTGGTGCTGGTATGTGTTTGTATCTTGAATAGGTGTCTGTAGCAGGTTTCATGTTCACTCAGGTAATGGGGGTTGAGTGTAGAGTCCAGACAGGGAAACACGTTATGTGCTAAAGCAGAGTGATGATAGGATGGCCAAAGAGAGAGAAAGACAAAATAAAGAGAGAATATTACCCTTGCATAGGATCAAGCAATGTACATTGTAGGAAATTTATTAGGAGAAACATAAATTAGAAATCTTCTGAGTTACCTAATTTGAGATTTCTAATCATCATAAGCAGACTAGCTTATTTTCTAGAAAATTTACACGGTGCTATTTTTTACCATGAGCTATCTGCTAAATTTTTAATGGCTATTGAAAAAAAATTCTAAAGGTGGTAGAATTTTTAAAGGACCATACACCTGCTGATTTCATAAAATTAAGACTTTTGCTGGACTTAGAGTCCATTTAGAATTTTTGTGGAATAATTATACCACACAGAAAAATATGGTGGAGCCCACTTTTATATTAGAAATGTGAAAGGAAACCAAGTAGAGCTGAATGCCAAGAAAAACGCAGAAAGAGTTCCCCACAGGGGGGCACTTAAAGTCTGCCACTGTCCAGTGAGACTCCAGTTCCCAAACTGATGGTTGTCCTTTTCTTGATCATCATTCTATTCCATGTTTACCTATCATTTGGGAGGATAACGCAGTGATAGATTATAATTCCAGGGGTAGAATAAAGTAGGCTAAAGTAGGCTGTAGTGAGAAATAAACCTTCTACAAAGAAGGAAGTGTAAGAGGAAGCTATAGATTTTACTGTGCATGTTTCAAGCATTTAGAAAATTAAAATCTTTACAATGCTTGGCTGCCAAGATGTTACAGGTATATGAATACAAGTAAAATCTAGGTAAATTGAAGGAAGCATGGGTTATAATTTTGATCCTCTTATAATTAGAAAAGTAAATATTTAGTAAAAAGTCAACATAAAGAGTGCACGGTTTTGCTCCTCTAATTTTATAGGGTATAGAGAATGAACAAAGAACCAGTAATTCTAACCTTTCTTATTTTTGGCATATAGATGATAATGATGGCATTAGATATTGAAGCAACCTAGAGAGGGTTCTACCTTACTTTATACTATTGCCTCTGGCAAGCCCATTAGTTAGAAACAAGGGAGAAGCAAGAAGGGTTAGTGAGGTCTTCATGCTTCTCTCACTCCATTGAGCCAAGGATGCAGTCCCCCGGTGCTATCTTAAATGCACTTCTTAGACATCTCTTCTTCATACCTTTAAGCACTTTGTAAACTGCACTTTTCTCCATTTTGTCACCTATAAAGTTAAGATGCTAAATGTATCCACCTCAGAGTTACTGTATTTCAGTGAGCTGATAGAGGCAAAGTGTTTATAACAGCAACTGGCGTGTGGTAGTGAAGTACAGGGGAGCAGGCATTGTTAGTTCTCAGACAAGTACATCTGGACATACAGAAGTGTGCCTATGAGACTACTCTGGGTGTTTTCGTATGTAGATAACAAGAGTGTACTCTGTGCTTATGACAAAAGAATAAAATATCATCTCACTTAATCTCCCATGATTAACAGGTGGGGTAGTTTCATTATGTCCATTGAGAAAGGTTAAATAATCCAGACAACATGACTCATAAATCAGTATTTTAACAAGAGCTTGTCTGATTCTAAAGGCTATAATATTTTCATGAGTCTGGGCTATGATCTAGACAAAGATAAAAGAACAAAAACAAATAGTGGAACCGGTTTTAAAACTATGTCATGTCATCAGTAACTATAGTTAGACTGTCACCTGTTGAAGAAAAATCCTGTGATCACCTTGTCCAAATCTGCCCACTTCCCTTCTAGTAGCAAATAGTTCAGAGTTTTGAGAAGCTGTGTTTACAAGTTGGGGGCTCTCAGGGTGCCTAGGTGGCTCAACTGGTTAAGTATCTGACTCCTAATTTCAGCTCAGGTCATGATCTCATACTCATGAGATAGAGCCCCATATTGGGCTCTGTACTAGGTATGGAAGCTGCTTAGGATTCTCTCTCTCTCTGCCCCTCTTTCCCTGCTTGCTCTCTCTCTCTCTCAAAAAAAAGGGGGGGACTGTCCCATCTGCCATCCTCCTTTTTGATCAGAAACCAGTAGCATCTTCTCTCTTCATTACTTTTATGGAGAATAACATACCAAGAATGGAACAATGGGATCAGTGTTCCCAAGTGCAGGCCATGGGCAATATAATTTTAAAATAATAAAATGAATAAAAATTTATTTTTAAAAATAATTTTGCCCAGGCAACTCTTAAAAAAACGTTAGTAATAAAATCTTTTCCTCTTTTGTGGTGGGGGTAGAAGAAGCATTTCCATTGCAAACCCCAAACTTGGTTTACACAGGTTAGTGAAGTTATACATTAAGTATCACTGCCAGACTTGGGTTGGAGAGAATGGGTAGAAAGATAAGATGGAGTAGCCAGAAAATGCCAGATTTGTTAGATCAAGGAACTGGTGTTGAGTATCTGAAAAACAACACAAAGTTCATATTGACAAGGGAATGCAAGTATTCTAAGTGGGTAACAAAATAGGAAGGAAGAGGAATCCAGACCCATTCTTAGGGGAACAAACCTTTGGGACTGAGAACAAGGATACAGGAACTGGAAACAAGGCATTGTGTCCAGGCAGCAAGTATGAAGACAAGCATCAGGACAAACAGATACAGAGCCAGAGTCTTTTCCTCGTCCAGGACTCTTAGAACCAGGGGATGCATAGGTTCCCCTCTATAGAGTCAACAGGTAATATAATAATGCAACTTCATCAAAGGATATAGAGATAACCACTGAGCTTTTAAATGCTGAAACAGGAGTTAGACCCCCAGAGGAGCTAGAGTTAGCAGGTTAGTTCTATCCATTCTTGAAAATGAATAGAACATATTTGGAGACTCTTGACATTACTATAATTTGAAAATTGTGAGATAGCTTGAGTCCTGAAAATCTCCAAAAACCAATGGAGACACTATTGATTTTGTAACTTCCAAACTTCTGTAAATACAACACAAATAAAAAGAGCTAGGAAGCTGTTAAGATCATATACATTTCATATAATTTATATAAGTAGATTGTTCTGTTTTGGTCTATTAACTATAGAGTCCTAAAATGTACATCCTAAAATGAATAGAGAATACAGAAGTACACAGTGATAAATATCCAAGA